CGATGATGTCGATGTCATCGGCATAAGCCAGCAATTGCACGCTCTTGTAGTAAATTGTTCCTGAGCGGTTCAGTTCTGCTGCTCTTATTATCTTCTCAACCATCAGATTAAAGAAGTCACATGAAAGGTAGTCGCCCTGTCTGAAACTTCGTTTTGTGGCGAACGGCTCGGAGAGGTCTCTTCCAATTCTGACGGAGCTGGTGGTATTGCTCAACGTCATTTTACACAGCCGTATGAGTTTTGAGGGGATGTCAAATCCAGACATAGCGGCGTATAGGCAACTCCTTTTAGTGCTGTCAAAAGCGGCTTTAAAGTCGACAAATAGGTGGTGAGTGTCGATCCTTTTCTCGCGGGTCTTTTCCAAGATTTGGCGTATTGTGAATACCTGGTCTGTGGTGGATTTGCCAGGTCTAAAGCCACACTGATAAGGCCCAATCAGTTCATTGACGGTGGACTTCAGTCTTTCACACAATACGCTCGATAAGACCTTGGTCGCTAAGCAAACGTCAAGCTGTGAGGTTATACTTTATTGTGCTCTGATTTTGGCTTTCTACTTACTAAGTTCATTGTGCTAATTCTGTGTTAAAGTAGTGATAAAAAGTGCTTATGAGCATCAGAGTGTGAAATAATTGAAGCTAAGTGAAAGTTATTGGTTTTATATTAAAGTAAATTTAATTAAATTTCACTAGCTTACATTCTAATTTTGCCGAGTCATTTGTTGCTATCATTGTTGTTGTATCCTTTGTAGTTAACTTTCATTTTGTTTCTGCATATTTGTTCTACTCTTTTTGTTTACTTCTTCTAGTAATTCTTGTCACAGCTGTTTGCGTTGCGTTTATTAAGTGTCATAATTACAGTGATACTCAAACTGTTCGCTACATTTATTTAAAGCTATTTACATCAGCTCCTTAATTGTTATAATTTATTTTGTTTGTCTTTTATTAACGAGTGTATTACATAAATCTCTCAATATGAAGTGTGATCTTGATACTTGCCAAATTAAAAGCGATTCTGAACGCTACTTATCGTGCTGGCTGTGTGATGGTATTTACCATCTGAAATGTGCTGGTTTGACGGGAAGTATTCTGGACGCTTTTAATGATG